TCCTGCTGGCATACAGCACCACGGCGGTGTGGTTGCTCTGTGAGGTTATGTAGTAGGTCACGGTGCTCCTGGACTTGTCCACCAGAGTTGTCTGATTTCTCAGCAGGTCCTGCTGGCCCTGAAGCGTCAGCCAGATGAGCTGCGAGCCAGCCTGGGCACAAAGAGAGGGGCAGTGCCACCAACCACAGAGTCCCAGACTGGTTTGAGGTGAAGGGACCTTAAAGCTCCTCCAGCTCCAACCCCTGCCACGGGCAGGGACACCTTCCACTAGAGCAGGTTGCTCCAAGCCCCTGTGTCCAACCTGGCCTTGAACACTGCCAGGGATGGGGCAGCCACAGCTTCTCTGGGCACCCTGTGCCAGCGCCTCAGCACCCTCACAGGGAAGAGCTTCTGCCTCAGAGCTCATCTCAATCTCCCCTCTGGCAGGTTCAAGCCATTCCCCTTGGCCTGTCCCTGCAGTGCCTTGTCCAAAGCCCCTCTCCAGGTTTCCTGGAGCCCCTTTAGGCACTGGAGCTGCTCTAAGGTGTCCCCTTCAGGAGCCTTCTCTTCTCCAGCTGCCCCAGCCCAGCTCTCTCAGCCTGGCTCCAGAGCTCAGCCCATTCATCCCTCCTGCCAAGTGCTGACACAGATGAAGGCTGTGGTAAGCAGAAGGCTTCCTGCCCGACTGGGACCTCTTACCTCAGCTGAGCTGGGGGAGAAGATGAGAACCCCCAGGACGCTGATGCCAATGGCACAAAGCAAGACAATGGACAAGATGATGCAGAAGGTCCTGCGTGGAGCTGTGAAGCACGCTGCAGCCCTCCTGTCCTGGGAGCCAAGGCAAGAAGGAAAGCACAGGAGTTAAAATCAACCTCCTACCGATCATGCTTCTTCCCTATAACAGGCAATTCCCACTCATTGCACAAACTGCTGGGTTTAAGTGCAGAACTGCCCTAACATCGCAGCAGCCCCGGAATAACATCACTTTTATCCCACAGTGCTGGAGTTTCAGATCCATCATCCCAGTGATGGGCACTCCCACAGCTGAGCACCTTCCTCCTGCAGCCACGGGAGCATGGAAACACTGGGAACCCCTTGGAGAAGGGCTGGAGCTGGAAACTTTCCACAAAGAGGAGCTGCTGCTGCTGCTGTTGCGCTTTAGCAGCAAATGAAATGACTTTGGTTTATAGCAGAAATCCTCAGAGAGCCATCAGCATTTGGAACAGCCCCTGTTGGAACGATCCTGCTTCCCTGCCCCACTGGATGTTTGGTTGCATTTACTTTCTTGATCAGCTGCTCTCTGTGCAGACCAAGCTGCCACCTGAAGCAAAAGAGCTTGGAATTCACCTTAATGCTTATATAGAAACACTTAAATTTAACTTAATGGCACATAACATTCTTCTTTGCAAGCAGAAAGGATGTGCTTCCAGTAATCCCAACTGTGCAGCCCCCATTAAAAAGGACCAACCTGTTCCTCAGTCTGAATACATGCCCATGGTTAGAAGTGCTGCAGCCACACGAGGAAGGGGCTCTTCAAGCATTTGGGTCAGTTTTTGCTCTTTTTTGGTAATATGTAACTTTCATATCTATCCCATCAGGAAAGCAGTGAGTCTTTCCTAAGTCCAGCCTGTGCAGAGCTGCAAGCTTGCCAATCCAGATGCAACAGTGCTCAAGCCCTATGGTACCAGGCAGGTTTTCAGTAGCTAATGGAATTTCCTGGGTGGGAAAGGTGCAGAGAGAGAAATGCAGTGACTCCCAGCCCTGCAGCTCCCCTATGCACACACATCCCGAGCAAGCGGGGTGCTTCAGCACCTCTACCCTGACCATCCTGCCCTGCCTTGAAAATCCATCTGACAACTGCCTTACAAGGAGCTCAACTGTGGGGTGCTGAGGCTGGGGATGAGCAAAACCTCACCAGGATTCCTGGTGATCCCTTCAATAAGGAACTGATCGAGCACAGAGCGGGGTCTCCCTCTGCAATGAGGGGGGGACCAGGGATACTCACTGTGGAGACAGCGTTGCTGGTGCTGTTCCTCGCCTCCATCCTCCACTTCAAATGAGGACCTTGCTCCTGCAGCTGTGCGACCGGGTTATATGCAGACTGTACATGATTACAGTTCCTGGCATGCCTGGAAACCCAAATTAAACCAAGCGTGCATCTAGCAGAAATGGTCCCTCATGCCAAAAGTAATTCCAGCCAGGAGTTCCTCAGCCCAGGCTGTGGGAGGCTGAAACCTGAGAGCTGCCACCTGGGGAGAGGGGAAGAGAATGGGGCTGAATCCAG